TTTTTATGTGTTCTGAAATTGACTGACTTACAAATCCCAAAAATCACTTAGTTTCCGTGGTCACACACTGGCTTTTGTTTATGAATTTTTACAAATAAGACAAACGTAAAATTTTAAGACGTATTAAGCAATGTAACATCTTTCATTTCGTACCTGTACCAGAATTCCTATAATTTTTAATTTCTTGTATATGTATGTATATACTGACAGAGTAATATTCTTAGTAAAGAGGATGTAATGTAATAATGCGGAAAATCGATTTCGAAATTGAAATTTTAACGGAAATACGCATTTTATGGTTTTCTAATACCAAATAAGTGTTTTTTTTAATGTCAGTCTGTCCGTCTGGAAACAACTTGAGTGTCTAAACTATTCAATTTTTTTCCAAAATAAATATTTATTGCGAGATCCGACCCAACTAAAATCCTTGTCATTTTGAAAAAAAAATTAACTTGAGGTATATCACATAAAGCTCCTGGGAATCCTTTCAAAATTTTCTCAACAATGCCTCCAATTTTTTCTTTACATTTCTGGTAAAATATACAAAGGTCGCAATTTTCATGGTTTTAACAGAATAGTCAAAAATTGCCAAAGTTTGAATTTAGTCCGACGTTTTCTTACAAACACAATATTAAAAATAAAGATTTTTTCATGTGGAATGTGTTCGGTACAATTCTTAAAATAATGTCGTTGTCATCGTTTTAAAAATAAGTACTTTTAGCGAAAGTTTGAGAGTATGGGCAATATTAAAAAGTATTCGAAACAATATTTTGTCACAAACGACTGTAATTGTTTTATTAAAACGCTTTGTACATGTAGTGCTGAATGTAAAGTATAATATGTCATAAACGCTATTTTGCTGTATTTTTTCAAAATTTACACAAAATTAATTCTTTGATATCTCTCTCACCTCGTTGATATTTATACTACCGGCAATTTGTATACTTTATCACATTTTGAATACAAGTACTTCAAATGATGTCATTTTAAGTGTCGAAAACAAAAGTTTTTTGTGAAAATGGACTTATTTTTAGAAACACTGAAACGCTACTTTCTCGAAAATGGCTTCAATTGTTTCTTTACATTTTTACACAAAAGGTGAACTGAATAACATGACATAAACTTAGGTTTGATGTACTCATTCAAAAATGCATGTATTCAAAAATTCTAAAGTGTATTTTTATAAATATCTCTCATGTCGTTAATTACGGGCACAACATTACGGGTATTTCTTATACTTATTGCATTTTTTAGTAAAATTGTTAAAAAATAATTTCTTTTTCAGTTTTTCGAAAACTGGAAAGTTTGGGGTGAAAATAAGCTTAAAAATGCACATTCTTAGAATCGGTCAAGTAACATTTTCTTGGAAACGGCCCGAATTTTCTAATGAAAATATACAAATAGGATCAGGGTTTTTTTCTTCTATAATATTCTTGAAGTCATATTACCTACAATTCTGCCATTATGGATCCCAGAATTTGAGAAAACTTGAAAATTTGTCTTTTAGCTGCTAATAGATGGTAGTTGACGAGAGGAAAAAAAACGAAAAGTAGCACAGACTGAAGGATAAGAAAACTAATTAGAAAATTAGAACGAGAATGTGTGTATCATTCTGGAGTTTTGTTGTATTGTTACCCAGCAAGGCGTTCTTTGGAAATTGTTTACCGAGTATAATCTCTCTCTGTCTCTCTCTGTCTGTCTGTCTCTGTCTCTCTCTCTCTCTCTCTCTGTCTATCTCCCTATCTCTATCTCTCTATTTGGAGCATCATAAATATTTGGAGACTTTTAATCCTCTTAACGATAAGGCGCATTTTGAGAACGCATGCTGTAAGACAGACCCGATGCAAACCTAATAATTATTCATTCTCAAGCCATTAACGTTACCGGGTATTTTAGACAGAACATGATTAGGGATTTCCAAAACCTTTGTCTGGAGTGAGAGCGTAGGCTTTCGCGGCCGGAGTCAGTACTTATTGTACTTGGCTGTCCGGGTGACACCGCGTCCATGGCCAAGGCGTTACGCCCTGAAGAAGGTCGCAGAATGGCGTCCGAAACGTCGGCACCTTCGCCATGGACGCGGCGTCACCCGGACAGCCTAGTAAATATTGTCTGGAGTACTTACTGGAAAAATGAATACAGCTTGAAATCTAATGAAAATGTACAGAATATTTCGCAATTTCGTGTTCTTTCTTTGCCGCATACTTGCATAAACATATCTGTATTTTGAACAATCACAGGGAGATTGCAATAAAACAAAATTTATTTGGTGAAAGAATTCTTCCACTGAAGAAGAAATTAAAGGCAGGGCGGATGCATGGTGGTTGCATGGCCGTTGCAGGAAGGTTGCAGGGCGGTTGCAGGATGGCTAAAAGGGCTACGAAGGAGCGGGGCAAGGTGGGAAAGAGCAGGGTAGGACGGGGATACAATAGATTAGATAGAAATAGGCCTGGACGCAGGGCGGTAATAGATCGAATTCCTCTTCATAACCAATAAATTGTGCTTATTCTACTCGTAAAATTAAAACCAATAGTGTTTAAATCACATACAAAATGCCACAATCAGGGCTGTATATCTCAAGATGTTTATCGCTTTTTCTAACCGATTTTTCTTACCGCTTCTACCTACTGGCCAATCATAAATTGGCATCTATCTTAGGAGGCATTATACATCTATAGCTATGTCGATGTGCAACAAACAGCGTATATACAATAATATAACATCTTATTTTAACATACACTTTCTGTAATTTTCAATATTGGGCGCATTTTGGATCTCTGGTGGACATAATTTCACTCGTGGAATAGTCCTATTAAATACCACTCGTGATTTGGAAATTCTCAGATAAATTCCAAAGCTCTCGTAGCATTGCCTATGATAAATACTCGAGCAACGGTGCTTCATCTAGTATATAATGAAATGAAAACTGATCTGGGGGCCAATCAAGATGAAGTATAGAATGATACACGTTAGATATATTATCATAATGATGCGATACCATGTCCATATCAAACGTGATTCTATTAATAACTATAACAATAATTATTATTATATACTGGGTGTGATTCGTGATGTAGTCATTAGACTGATCGCTTTCCTACAGTTGATTTGTATTCAATTACAGGTCAATTCATGTGAATTTTATGGTAGACAAATGATTTCGCTGCAGTTGTTTTGGACGTTCTTCTGTTTATCCTGTCTCTCAGTCAACCACTGCTTTATTGCACTTCACCATTAACTCCTGCCATCTCCTCCATCCCAGGATAGGCTAGAAGCTCTTGACGTTGATATACGAATCAGAATTCTCTTGTTAAACTAGCATTGAATTACTATTAAATTTATGATGATTCCTATTCATCCCCTAAATAAAGGAGTGGTACCGTTATATCACAGTATCCAACAAATATTGAAACAATGAAACTCAGACAAAAGAATTGATTGAACAATATATGAACTGACTTCTGGAATTCTAAGCGGAAGAATTTGTCAGCGACATTTACCAGAAAAAACCGTAGAAGATCTTTTAACTACTAAATTCATCCTTAGCATGAAACAACGCGGAGCGTGACCAGCACAAACAATTTAACCAGAGCATTTCTACCAATCAAAATACAATAGAAATGTGTATTTCTATGAGCTAGTTCTCAGTACATCTCTGAGAGTAGGAGTATATTTGACAAACGGCTGAGAAAAGAGATGAAAATAACGTAATAATAGTATTAATAATGACGATGATGATAATTATTTAGTCTCCATGATAATGATTTGGTCTCCATTCTGCACGTAAATCGGTGCTGAAAGTATACAGATATCTGATAAATGGGGGTATGATAAGCCTGACAACATGGTCGAAAAAAAATATAAAATTACTCTTGAATTTCAATTACTACACAAACCATCGTTTGAGTCAATATATGTCATATCTCATCGTCGCTAAAGATAAGCAGGTAGGTGTATGAGTGATTGCATCTATTTCGGCAAATTCGTGAGCTGACCAAGAGGAGCTCGAAAAAATAACGAAATATCCTACTCTCCAGGTAGAGATGGATACACTCTGGTTGTTCTAGTGGTAAATTAGGGCCTTAATCGCTATGCGCACAGACGTGACAAAACACCTGAGCACCCTAGTTCGTAATGAAAATCTAACACATTTGCTCGAAAAGTACGCGTTGTAGGGTATCACTCAGACTCGGCGAATATATATCTTAGAACTTTTAAGGCCTTGAGTAGGATATGAATCCAGAGGTATATCAATCGGTTAAAAAATGAGGGATGTGATTAATAATAATAATAATAATAATAATTCATTGACGAATAAAATAAACGCACAAAGTGTTGTTACGTAGACAAATCCTTGAGTAATGAACTTTCAAATCTCGTCTAATAATAAACTATTTTAATCAGGGGAAGCAAATGGTTCGGAAGATGAATATCGAAGAGCTCATTAAAAAAATCATTAGTTAAAAGTTCAATTTTATAAGAAGTTATTTTTCGACAACACTGAAATACGATGAACTACAGACAGTGGAGAATGGCATGCGAGGTGAGGAGCGTTCAATATGGAAAAAGATTCTCCAAAGGTCAATGTGCCCCGAGATTCGAAACGCGGTCGAACCCCCGACAGGCTCTCCGTGTTAAATCTCAGCAAGGGATCTCTCCCTCTACCGCCCACGAAACTGGCCCGTGCACTTATGCAAATGAGTTTTTGTGAAGAGCAGCCTCCTAAAAACAGGATCGAATGCTATATTTGTATCCTACACATTTCAGTGTCTTCTTGGTATCCACAGGAACACAAAGGGATGTCTCTTGTTAACAAACATTAGTCTCTCTCAATTAACATGAAGAAATTATTAACGTATTAGGATCACAAACTGACAGTGGTTTTTCATGCCTCCATCTATCAATCTTTATATATTTGGTATTTTTCAGGACATTAAAGTAGTTTTCAATGCTAATTTTATTCAATTTCAATTTAATTATATGATGCTAAAAATATAACCTACAAATATTCTGCATTACGAAAAACGAAATTTTCGAAACGCAATAATTATTTTAAGTTTTTACTTCTTCATTTTTAATATTGAAACTATTAAAGTTATATTTTAATAATAATTTGACTGATCAAAATTGTGAGTGTAACTTTTATTATAATATTTCAAAAATTTAATTCTTAGTTTTCACAATCGCACACCATATATATACGAGGTAACACAAGTATTTATATATGTTTTAACCTCCGTCTATGGTTTAGTCATCTTCAGAAACATTATTCTGCAATGATACATTCGTTCGACAAACAGCTCTTTATGTAACTCTGGGTGATCATTAATCACTGGTGAACATTTGCTCCGGTCTGCCCTGCGGGATATTGCAGCTGAATCTGGATAAAACAGTACGAAGAATTGACGCTTGCACACGCTTCTTAATACCACGAACACGAGAAGGAAAAAATCGACTGCACCAAACGACACGCGAACAAATCTCATTGACAAACACAAACGAAATACAGCTACCTTCGCGGTGCCTACTAGCGCTCCGCCATGTTCTCCTTTCAGTTGAGGGATTCTGGGATCAACATGACATATTTATGGGATAGTTATGGCCGAGAAGGTCAATTCTATCGTTCAGATATACATCGAAACACACTCAAGAGGTGATTCCACAGTAACAGCTTCTGAAGAAAGGTGATTACGCACCAGTAAAATAGGCCTGCGAGAACGTCTAAGGGTGAGATTGAAAACCATTAAAATGTACTTTTGATGGTTGGAGATGACTATAAACTCTCCATAATCCATAATCGCTTTTTTATGTTATTAGAAATTAATTTGCGTTTAAGAATTGAAATTGAAAGTTTTGGAATTTTAATGGAAGATATTTGACAGTGGTGCAATAAAGGCAAAGTATGTGAGTATGATAAAAAAAAATCTTAATTACGTATTTAGCCGATATATCAGAATAATTTAATCTAATTTACAATAAACTTGTAAATGTCATTAAACTTGCAAATAACACTGCAATTAAAATAATCAAATAAACTCGGCTGGTACTAATTATTTTAGTATTTAATGGAAGAAAAAAGTTAAATTAATTTTAAAAATTAATTTCATTTTACATTCTTTGAATTCCTCTTTTTAGGAAACGAATATTCATCTTTTTACGAAACTAATACTTTTCTTTTTGAGGAAATAAAGTACTTTGATTTAACATTCAAATGATTAAACTGTATGATATTAACGTATATCTACACAGTAAACTGGTTATTACAAAATAGTAAAATTATTCAGATCTAAAGCATTTCTAATGATTCATAGAATGTTAAAATGTACAAATACTTATGAATTAATGAATTAATTTTCTTCAATCACACACAGCTATCTGAAGAACGTAATGCAATAAATGCTTTTGTTACTTTTTGAATTTTCTGTTCTAAAAAATTCATTTAAATATTCACAACAAACATCCTTTCTCGTAACTTTGGTTCACGGGAGTCCCTATGAATAAATTCATAATTCATGTGAAGAAAAACTTGTACGATGCTTACGTCTAGACATTTTATCTGTTGAAGTCAGCAATCAAGGAAGTAAGCATGGCGGACGTACAAGCGCATGGCCAAGTGTTGCCAACTTCTTGAATACCGAAAACACAAGAAAACGGTGATCACTTATCGTAGTGCGTCATAAATCGAGTCACAAAGTGTGGAAAAAATCGCACTATCAATTCATACATCCAACTCCTCCAATTTCAAGTTCTTCCCAAATATTAATTACTGTTCTGCTTTTTCTACGTAATTAAGCACATTTATGTGTAACACGAAAGAAAAAGAAAATTCGATAAAATTGTGATAATGATATTGGGAGAATGTGTATTTACGCTATTATCGCAAGACACAGAAACTGACCGCTGCTAAGATAAAAGGATTTGATATATATTCACAATCTTTATCGATCATCAAATAATAATAGAACAGATTAGAAATAATATTTAAGAAAGGTGACGTTTATGTGAGGAACAATTTTTTGATGTGGCATAACTTCTGAAAACAGGTAGAGAAGGAAGTACTCTTGCTGGGCAAGCTTGCTCAGATTAAAATGTTAAGTTTGGCAGCACTTGAAAATGGATCTAGGAAGGTAGGTTTGAAGTTTCTTTCCCAAAAGAATCACTCATAAATAAAAATTGGTTGTATGCTGTAGAATGCAAATTTACAAAAGGTATGAAGATTTTTTACAGAATTTATATTTAATGTTGAAACAAGAAGTAGATATTGTGAGTCCCTAAAATACTGTGACAAGACTAAAGAAATGTTCTGGAAAAGACTCAGGAAGATTTTCTGGGATACTTTCACTTTGAAAAATCAACATATTCGTAATACTATTGTTGTTTTGTACGACCACATTTTCAGTTGAAATTTTTCCTGGATTCACGAGCGAGAAACCTGTATAGTCACTTTTCAATGAACATGGAGAAGTGAATTTTTTTTGTTAACATGTTCTTTAGTTAATGATTGTTTGTTCATAAGATATATTTTTTTCAGTACGATGATAAGTAGATGCCCTCTATTCAAATAAAATCGAGTGATCTCGTTATCCGCTGAAAACATCTTGTTTGTAGTATTCGACATCGTGAGATAATTGAATCGTTTTTGCCAAGCACGAACAACCAATGTTTTCGTAGAATGCGATCTATCATCATACATGCATCCATAATAATTCTCAAAATGTTTTATATGCACATATATTTGCAACATTGTTTTTGCCACTTTTATCACACAAATGGCGACGTATAAGAGTTATGATCTCTCCAATCTGTAAAGTCACATAAAACATTCCACATGCAAAATAGCGCTCAATTCTTATCGTAACGGCTGTGTTCACAGTAAGAGAAACGATTAGTGGCAGAGAGCATACTGAAACAACTATTTGCCACATTAGTGATTTTATAAAGAGTGGAATTAAAAAAAAAATCCCTTTCGAACTACATTCCTCAATTAAAGCGTCTCAACAGCTCCCATGAATCAACACACCTCATGCAACTCGGGGAACCAAATTTCCAAAGCGAACGAAGCGGCCGTGGGTCGGCATCCCTTCAATGTACTGTCGTTGCCGCGATTTCCCGGCGACGGGACTTCCGCCTGGCAAAGCACGAGAGACAAGAAGACAGGGGCGGAAGCGGCGGCCAAGGCTCTTAGCGCAGAGCTTTGATCAGCGGCGCGGCGGCGGGCGGCAAGCTTTTGCGGCGTGCCGTGCGCCACGCGGACGCCCGCACGCGCATCGATCCCGGGCGGCAGCGGCCGCCCGCCCGCGAACTCGCCGCCTGCCCAAAGATGTCCTGCGACGGTAGCGTCCGCCGCGCTAAAAATACGCGCGGACGACAGTGGCGAGGAAGAAAACATGTTTTGATCGCACGAATGGCGTAACGAATGGGTGGTGGTTTGGTGGGGTTTTGGGCGTGCTTATTTGATCTCTCGCGTGAAAAAAAAAATAATTATAATTAAGTAGTGTCCCACGTTAGTAGTGTTGTTGAAATGTTAAGTAATTTTGTGCGTGCTGTGATTTCTGATTTGAACATCCAAATGATAACTGTGCAAGTGATTTTGATTTTGGTCTTTGCCAAAACATAATAAGATTGCAGGCTTAAAAACTTTTGTTTTCTAAACGGATAAATGTATGTACTTATTTAACTGTCTAATTGAATGGTTCGAAACTGCGATATTTGCGTAAAATTAGATGGTGCCAGTTTTTTGAGTCAGATTTTTTTTTTAATTTCGATTTCGCGATCTTTCTTTTTGCCAGTTAGGCTCATAGCGGAATCGCTTTGGATTCGGCAGCCTGCGCAGCCCATATTTCGTGACGACAAAGGTGTCTGCGGAGGTGTCAAGCGTGCGGAAAGCCGAGGGCAAGTAGAAGAAGGCAACAGCAAAGCACAAGCGCCGGCGCGGGGCGGGCGACGCGGGCTGCTGGGCGACATCCCCGTCGCCATGCACCGCCTTCGGCCAGTCGCCGCCGCCTGGGGAGGGGGCGGGGGGGCGCGGGCGCTTTGGCTTATTCTCGCCGCGAAGCACGAGCCACTGAAAGCGGCAACGGGCGAGCGCCGGGGCGACCGGGAGACACTGCGCCGGGCGCCCGCAAGGCCCCGCGCGCGGCGCGCGCGGCGCGGCCGCGCCCGAGAGCGTCTGAGCGGACCGCCCGCCGGCGGACGGCGGCGCGCGCGCGCCCGTCCTCCCGCTCGCCACTGTTCCCGTCCACTCCACCCCGCTCCGCCCCGTCCCACCCTCCGCCGCCCCCGGCGGATCAGCACTCGCCCGTGCGGGGCTTCTCCGCATCCGATCCCGGCGGCAGAGTCTTCCGAACACGTCCACCCACTCTCCGCCCCGACTTCTTTTTTAACAGCATTCTAAACAGAGTTCTCGCGTCGTGAATGTGTCTTGTTCCGAGTTGGTAATGGCATTCCTCTCGCAAGAGGGACTCTTGATGCAAATGCTGGAGAACATAACACTACACTTTCAGGACACGCGACTTAAAAAGTCTGCAGGCCTCTACTAAAATTTAGCACACATACTTACATCACACGTTGTACCTAGTACATACACACGCAGATACATAGTTATATGTGCAACGGTAGGCGCGCGCTTCTCTTTATCCAGTGACAGTTATTAAAAAAAATATTTTATTACAGAAGTGAAATGTAGATTGTGTGCCTCGATTTATGGGTATATTTATTCACATTATTAAAACGGAATTTTTTGACAAAAAAGACGTATTTCAAGGTACGTTTCTCTCGTACTCGCAGAGCCGTTAAAGTTTAAAATATTATAGTTGTCTAGCAAAGAGTCTGCCTTCTAAAAAACGCGAGTGACTTAAGTTCGAGTTCAAAATAAAAGAATGTTTGTCTATATGCGAGAGGTCATAAATTAATTTTCTTTGGTCATCAATTGTCCATCACTAGTGTTTCCACATGTAATCATTGGAAATTTACATTTTTCGTGAACGTTTTTTAGTAGGATGTAGGTATTGTGTTCTGTTCTAGTTTAGTAGAGGCCTGCACGCTTTTTAAGTCGCGTGTCCTGAACGTGTAG